GAGCGGGAGAAAGAGAAGGAGTGGGGCGGCGGGAGCAGGGGGGACTTCGCGCACCCCCACATCTTCTCCCACCACCTTCCCTCCCGCTCCTCCTCCCAGTCCCTCGCTCTCCTTCCTCCTCCTCCTCCCGCACCACCTTCCATCTCGCTGTCGCCCTCTTCCGCCCAGTCGTCATCCTCTCAAGGAGTGTACGGAGGAGGCGGAGGAGGGCTGGTGGTGCGAGGTCCCAGCCTGATGGCGTTGAGGAACAGCCCGCAGCCCCTTCGCAGAACCGCATCCGGCGGCGGTCCGGGAGGGTCTGGTGGTGGAGACGGAGTCCTCAGCCGAAGTACCTCGGTCACCTCGCACATCTCCAATGGATCCCACCTCTCCTACTCTTAAGGGAGCCGAGTAAGAGAGGTCAGGCTCGCTTTCTTTCTGTGTTTTTAACGCTAGTTGAATTCGTCCAAGCCGTTGCAATACGAGCGAGAGCACATTTTACTTGTCCTGTTGCTTTCGTTTCTCCTTGCTCATTGTTGTTTTTTTTAATAATAATAAAAAAAAAACATCGGAACATCACCACTGCCTTTAAGATGTCTTAAAGGGGTGATGCGCGACTACTTTTTTGCGACGGGGAGAATTCGTACATGCACACACGACAGTATGAACACAGAATGTTTATGTCAGGCAGACTTTATGAATACATTTACGTCTATGGGAGTTGCTCCAATGCATGAAATTAATGTAGTAAATACATTTGTATTTAAATGTTATCCAGTCACATTTGAGATGTAAAGGCTCGTTAACACAAAGAACGATAACTATAAAGATATAGTTTTAAAAGTCATTCTAAATTTAAAAGAAGAGTCCACATCACAGCTATAACAATAACGGCACAGAGGAACGATATCGTTGAAATCACTTTCAAAACAGCCAATCAGAATCCATCCTGCTTTAATGAGCGCAAGCATTTAAAGTGGCAGAAGACAAAATTGCAGCACGAGCTTATAATAAACAGAACGTTATCGTCTGTTGGTGTGGACGCTAATAGAGCTATCGTTATAATAATCGTTCTTATTGTGAACGAGCCTTAAGGCTACCTTTACAAATCATTGGCTGCATCCGAAGTCGCATATATCTCTGGAGCACAGTAGGCGAAAACAATATGCGAAAAGATTTGTATGTCCAAAATCACAGTATTCATGAAACAGCAGGCGAAAAGTTCCCAGATGACCTACTACTAACCGCGATATTCTGAAGTGTGCATCTAATGGACGATTTACTATCCCATGAGGCCCGGGAGAGGATTTATGAATGGTGACACAACTGACACTGGAAGGTCACATGACCATGCCAACATGACAAATGTAACGCATCCGGATTACATTCATACTATATAGAACAAATGGTATGGTAAATTAATGGTAACAAAGTAGTTACTTATTAAAAATGCGATTTCGGACGCAACCATAGACTTTTAGAGTCAATCTCCCACCAATTGGATCTTTTATTGTGTGTGTATATATATAAATATTAATATATAGTATCTAAAAGTGTTGAAGCATTGTGTCCACAGTTGTCTATAGTAATTATGACTATCGACATTTTGATAATGTGAACAGAATAGACCTGACATTTAATTGTAGAAATTGGATCTGGAGTGGACGGCATGCATCGCAATACCATGTTGGATGTCATCACGACAACATTTTTCAAAATTTCTCCAAGCATCTGGTTGTAAAGGATGTGAACATTTTTAAAAGCAAGAAAATTGTGGGGTCTAGTGTGCGTTATGGTTATTAATACGTGAGTATTAATAAGTCTGTGTGTATGCATTGTCTGAATGGGATGCGCGCTGGTAATATTGCCACTTTTGTACACAAACACACCAAAAAAAAAAAAAAGATTTAAAGGCTTATTCGCTCGGATAAGCATCTTTTAACTCAAACCTTAGACAATAAAAACAAACTTGATTTAATTACAAAGGGTTACAATCACTAATCTTTTGGGAAGAACTAAATCGTTTATTATTTTGAGCAATGAGAGGCAGGGTGCATTTATTGAAACTCTCCAGGACAAGCAGGTGCAGTAAGTGATCAAACGATGGAAGACTCTTCTTTACAATGAAGACGTGGAGAACTTTGGAGGAAACATGGCAGCTGCTTTTGCTGTATTTCTGTGTAGATTGAAGCTGAGTGCACACTAATGTGTGTGTGTGTGTATGTGTGTGTATGTGTGTATATATATATATATATGTTGGAGTGTTCTCTGATCTTGGGACGTGTGGGATGCTTCAAAGTGTGTTGACAATGAAGAGAGAGCATTTGAGCCTTCAGCAGATTCTCAGCTGTGCATTGCCAAGGCTGTTTTCTCACAGACACCTTCAGAGATATCCAAGAAGAACCAAGAGGAACTTGATGAACTCCGAAATCAAGCGAGAAACACCAGCTCTGATATCTCTCTCTGTATAACCTACTACTTTATGCTTGGTTTAAAGTAAAACAGTGCATGCAGAACTTCTAATGTATGGAGGATGTCGGATATAGTGTTTGGAGGGCCAATGAGATTGTACCATTGAATGGACTGGCTTGTTTGTGAGATATGGTGTGATGTTACTTCATGATCTTTGGACAGTGATCCCATTATAATGTTGAATGTTAGAGCTAATATTGCAAAAGCAAGTCCACAGGCAGGTTAAACTCATCAGATCCATGTATGGTGGTAAAGGAGGCTCTCCTAGTTTGTCTGGAGTGAGGCGTTGAGATGGACGGACTCTTGTCTGCCTCCATCTGTGTATGTATATGTTGACTGTGAAACAGGTTGTTGGATCAAAGTGGTTTTGCTGAGAGGACTTTTCCAGTACATCTCGAAACATATTAATGACTGAAATCAACCCGTTTGTGGTTTGAAGGGAGAAAACGTGGAAGGAAAAATAAACGTGAAGCAATTTAAATTACAATAAATTGATATTAACGTGAATTTGTCTGGTGTTGTTTTTATGATGCTATTTGCACATTGACGAGTGGAATCATTCCTAAACTGCTTTGAGTTCATAAACATGTAATCGTATATCTGACATTGATGTCTGGCATCAATCCTCTAAGCGTCACTGCGACGTGCCCTTTAAGAGCCGCTCGAGTTTAATGCGTGTTTCTCCGGAGTCGGTTTTTTATTTATTTATTTATTGCAAAGAGCCTGAAACAGAGTACAGTGTTATAAATGAAACCTGAATTACACCATGCACGTTCAGGAAAAATCGATATAAATAAAGCACATGCTCGTCTTAACTTTTAATAGTTTTATTTGAAGTTTTTTTGGACATGTTCAAACAGACGTAGAGTAAATAAAGGCTATAGCCACAAATGTTGCTCATTCGCATATGAAATTCGCCAAGTATATCAATACGTATATTCTCGTTGGGTTTGTAACGTTATTTTAAAAATTGGCATTCTGTAAATTCAGCGAAAAATCAATGTAAAGCACAAGCTTTATTATAAGTTAGGCTATAAATTTGTAAGTTGTCTTTTTATAAGTTAGAAGGTTTTTTTGGACATTGATTTTATTTTCAGATACAATAAATACATGATAATTTGTTGATTACACATTTTACACATGCTAAAGTTTTATATATATATATATATATATATAACAGTAGGCCTATATTTAACCAAAAATGAAAATACTGCATTCAAATATTGAGATAACGCTTTACCAAAATATTTTATATAAATGGGCAAAGATAGGCCCAGTGCAGATTAATTCGGAGAGTCACTTAACTTTTATGAGTTTTTAGTTTTTTCGTGGTTAATTATCTGTCTAATTCTCTATTTATTTATTAAGAATTAATGTAGACTATTTATTTATTTATTGTTTGTTTGTTTGTGAATTAGGCTACATTCGGTAGCTAAATTCATTGAAAAAGCAATATAAAACACAAGCTTTATTATAAGTTATACATTTGTAAGTTATAAGTTAATAGAAGTCTTTTTATACGTTTTTTTTAATATTGATTTTATTTTCAGGTAGCCTACAATAAATATATGTTACTACACATTTTGAAATTCGCACATTCTCTTGATTGAAAAAAAAAACATCTTTATTAAAGACATACAGATAAAATTATGTCTTTAGAGATAAAAGAGCCTTATATGTTATATATGTTATATAAACATAGGGGAGAGCGGGGCACAAAGTAACACTTTTTGACTTTCTCAGTTTGTGTAAATCCACATGGGGTTCAGAATATAATTTTTATTTATCCACAGTAATTTTACACTTGTCTAGTACAAATACATCGCTTTGTTTCATAATTACAGTGTATACGTTTTTCTTTATTTACCCTCAAAAAATGGAAGTGAAATGTGACAACATGCCCCGTACACATTGTAACATCTGAGGGGCACGTTGTAACTTGACCATATGACAGCTTAAAATCTTATCTGATCGAATTAAAAAAATATAAAAGACAAACTAAAATATTTTGTTAATAAAATATATATTATTTTTTATTTTTATTTATTTATTTTTTTTAAAGATTCTTTAACCAACAATGGAAATACTGCATCCAAATATTGAGAGAACGTCTTTCCAAAATATTTTTTATATAAATGGACAAAGTTATAGTGCAGATTAATTCGGAGCGTCACATATCCTAACTTTTTAAAATTATTATTATTGTTTGTAATTACATTCTAAATTCAGTAAAAAATCTATAGAAAGCACAAGCTTTATTAGCTATACGTTATAAATTTGTAAGTTATAAGTTATTACAAGTTTTTTTAAATATACTTTTTTATGTTATTACTACACATTTTTACTCTGAGCATATGAAATTCGTCAAGGAGCAGTGTATTAATACCTGATTAATAAGCACATGGGATTTACTACGGTTATAAAAAACAACAAACAAAATACTGCACCAAAATATTAGGATATAGCGTCAAAATATTAGAATGAACGTCGGTGCAGATGGTCTCGATCAGCAGACTGTAGTCATGTGATGTCGGCAGTACTGACGCTGTCACGGTTTTTCTGTCGGCTCATTTTCTGAGAGGAAGAGGAACGCGACGGAAATAGGAGCGGAGAGAGCCATCCCTTTAAGAACAACTGGGACATAGCGGAGAGAGGAAAAGGAGAGGAGGGGGTAGAAGAAAGAGGAATTAAAAAAGAAAAGGAAGGAAGAAAGAGACAGGGAAGGGAGGGAGAGAGAGAGAGAGAGAGAGCGCGATAAAAAAAGAAAGATGACATCCTGTGAATTGAAGCGCCGAGGTGGAGCGGCGGGCTGCGGCCGGGCTCGAGTGTTATTCGTCCGGGTCACGGCTTGAATCCTACAGCGAGGCTTCGACAAACATCCGATTGGCCTGTCGGGGGGGATCGAGGAAAAAAACACTGATTTATCCATAGCAACCTTTAAGTTTGACTGTTTCAAATGCGTCAAGCGCATTACGTCTAACCGCTATTTTAACGTCTAAATGCCTCAACTCCTGTTTTATAATGCATGGTGTAAGAGTGTAGAAATAACATGATTGCTTTCGATATTTTAAGTTATGCAAATGAATAAATAGCACGTTGTTGTGATGTCTCGGTTAAAGTTGGATAGGAGCAAAGTAAACACTAAATAGCGTGCATTATTACCTGCTAATCTGAGCCGTTAATTAAATAAGTGATTGGTAGAAGAGTTAAAAAACACAACTAAACACTATTTGCAAACTGCAGAAGATTTAAAGCATGTCAACGGTGCGTTATTAATCTTGAAGATTGTGTAGTTGATTATAATATTCATCGTTGTGGAACAAAATGGATGCCGCGTGGAGCAATTTTCTCTTCCAGGTGAGACTGAGCATTGGTTTTTGTGCGTGTGTGTATACAAATTGCGATTCGTGTTGTTACAGAACATCTGCGTTAGTACATTAAACGCACTCCAGTTATACCTACACTGAAGTTTTGAATTCAAACTTAGTACTTTGTGATTGTTCTTTCCCAGACCACACCTTCCCATACTCAAGTGGAGGGGACCCTCCAATCAGATCTGCCTGGCCACACGACCTCTCAAACCCCGCCCACCGAGCACATAGCTCCGCCTCCATCGACAGTGGACACTGCTGCTCTCAATGAGGACCCTGTACCTGGTGGGTGAGAGGGAGGGATGGGGAGGGAGGTTTGGAGAGGAGCGAGGAAGCTGACTGGGAGGGGTTGGAGGTTTTCTGAGGTTGCTCAGTGTTCCTCTGTGATCACATAGAGTGCTGCTTAGAATATAGGTGTGTTATCTTCAGGTGGAGGTCAGCCATGCTTCGTTATGACTTCTTTTAAGGCCCTACCTCAAGAAATGGGGACACCTAGAAATATGGGGAAATTGGGCTTTCCCGAAATGGAAATTTGTATAGAGAATCTAAATGTCGTGTGATTATGAAATTTGTGATTTTTAAAATCCGATTAATCAGGAACAAACTAAAATTTCCTGGAAAGTAGTGAGTCAGAAACTGTACAGTCTGTGCAGGACAGGTGTTGTCACGTTTACCATTGTTTGGTGAATTTTCACCTAGTCATTTTAATGAGAATCTGCACCATTTGCGTGAGGGTGAAGGATTTCCCAATGCAGATTGCAACGGGTTCAAGTTGGTCACTTGAATTGGATTGAAATTAGTTTGAAAACTAGCTTGAAATGGAATTCCCTATTCTATTGGCAATAAACTGCAAAATTACGCTGAAAGTCATGTCAGAAAGTGTGTCCGTAAAGGTGTGGTTAAATTTACTGTTACGAATTCTAGTGATTTCAGTAGAAATCCTCACGAAAAGGAATTTCATGTAAGGGCAACAGACTTCTCCACGTGGATTTCGCAGTGGGTTTGGTGGATTTTCGCGGGTGAAGTCCAGTCATTTCAGCAGGAATCTGCACAAGAATTTCATGTGAGAGCGAAAGATTTCCCTTTTCAGATTTCATACCAAGTTGAAGTTGGCAACTTAAATTAGCTGTGTTTGACAGCAGCTTCGTTATATTAGACAATGGATCTTTTTTGTGCCTGCGAAATTTCCCTAAAATTCTTGGAAAGTCATAGGTGAAAAGTCTAAAGGTGCAGTAAAATTTACGTTGTTTGGCAAACTTTTGCAGGCGAAATCCACCCATTTTAGCAGGGAATCCACTCGATCTGGAATTTCGCATTGCAGATTTTGCAGCAGGTTCAAGTTGGTCACTCGAATTTGCTGCAGTGATCAACAGAAAGCTGTTTGGTTTGAAAGTGACTTCGCTTTACTATTGGCAATAGGCAAAATAGCCCTTTTTCACCAGCAAAATTTTGCAGAAATTCTTGGAAAGTCATAGTGTGTCTGTAAAGAGTATTTGTGAGTGTGAATTTTCATAGGTGAAATCTGCACAGTTGAAAAGTGTTAAAGATTTCTCAATGGGTTAAAAACTCGAATTTGGCACTTTGATCTTGGTTTGAAAGTGACACTGTAATAGACCATCAACCTTTTTGCCCGTAAAGTTTTGCAAAAATTCTTGGAAAGTCAGAGGTCAAAAAGTATGTTTGTAAAAATGCGGTCACATTTATTGTTGTTCGGCAAATTTTCATGGGCGAAATCTGGAATCCATGTGATTGGGAATTACGCAAGGGTGAAAAAATTCCCCATGCAGATTTTACAACGAGTTCAAGTTGGTCACTGTGATTTTGCAACAACAAAAAAATCGCTAATGTGACCGACCGTACCTTAATTCCCTTATTAATGTTTAGTAACTCGCAGTTTTGTCTCTTCATTCCATCAGTGAAGCCAGTGTCCAGACCGGCTCGCGCAGCTCATATCTGCTCAATTTGCAGCAAGCAGTTCAAGAACAGCTACAACCTGCGGCGTCATCAGTCCGTCCACACCGGTATCCGCATGAAGGGGGGGTCCCAGAGCCAAGAGGCCGTGGCCAAAGAGAGTGCGGAAAGACAAACGGTCCCCCTCTCTCTCCTTCACCTCTCCATACCCCAACAGCAAACCCTAACGCTGCCCGCTCCTGCTGTTCTGCCCCCTCCCCACACACAAGTCCTGGCCACTCAAGATGGAAACAATGTTGCCATGGAGAGCGTGGCTTCCACTGTGACCGCCCTCCCTCCTCCGGCTGCTGTTGTCATGGCAACAGGGGAGCCTGTACAGGTGGGCATCCGTGTGTGTGTGTGTGTATTTTCAGAATCTGGCATACAGTGAATCACAAATGATGGTACAACCAATTTAACATACATGTAATGTTTTGTTGACATGTAGAAGCAAGGTTCTGCAAGCCATGGTTGTACTTTCGCTTTACACTGTTAAAATGTGTTCTAAAGGTACCCATGGTCAGGGAAAACAGAAATGCCATTTAATTAGTAAAGACCTAAAAGTAATGGAAATCTCAGAACATCATTTTTTTCTGTATGCTTCTAGTTTTGCTTTGTTTTAAAATATTTTATATGCTAGATATTGCATGCAAATATTTGTCTGTTAAGGGTCTTATTGGAGATATTTGCACACCTATAAGTATAGTAATTTAAACATATATCTTCAAGAGCTTGGTAGCTGACGTATAAATGGAAATGTGCCCCAGCAGTCTCTATGAAATGATTTTAACAATTCTTATTCGGTAATCGTGAATGACTGGAAGGATAATGGTAATTTCATGGTAATTTCTTCTGTCAAAAAATGTGAATGTGGAGAGCAGAGAAAATATCAGTGAGAAGCAGTAGAGAGAAAAAAATTGGATGTCAGACTTTACCATTACCTAGTTAACAAAAATAGCAGCAAAGAATAATGTACACCTCTTTTTTATTTGATATATTTATTTAAGGCCTTGTAATGCATATTATCACATAAAACTGCATTGATTCCGTTTATTAGATTTTTTTTAAATTACTCCTAATTACTACTTAATTACATCCTAATTACTCAAATAGATAATTTTTTTAAATGGACTACATTAGTATTTTGCTTTAAAGTCTTTTGCATAATAGAATGGCATGTTTATATGACAATTAAAAAATATATTATGAAAATATCTCCTTATAAAGGTAAAAATGCCCGTGAAAACCCCTGCATTAATAATAATAATAATTAATAATTTATGCATTTAGCAGACACTTTTATCCAAAGCGACTTACAGTGCATTCAGGCTATACATTTTTTACCAGTATCCTATGTGTGTTCCCTGGGAATCGAACCCACGTCCTTTTACGCTGCTAACGCAATGCTCTACCACTGAGCCACAGGAACATTAAAGCACTAAAGAACTGAACAAGCAACTTGGTTATTAATTAATAAAATCATGACGCTTCAGTTGTTTGAACATACAAAAGGTAATTGAGAATTACTTTTTATTAAAAAAAAAAACAAATACTTTAAAACATTTTTCCTGCAATTTTTTGCATCAGTAGTACAGCGTAGCCAACCTTACTTCAGATTTGTCCAACAGGATTGAATTACTGTGTGTGCACACTTCCAGAACTTGCCATGCAAAATGATGACATCACTTTTGTGCACTCACCCTCTCACTCCTGGAAGTATAAACCAAGCTTCAGGATATTCTTCAGACCTTAATATCTTCTCATTTCCCTGCTCCTCCTTCAGAGGCCAGTAAACCAGAACCCCAACCCTGTGCGTAAAAACCACGCGTGTGAGACCTGTGGGAAAGCCTTCAGGGATGTGTACCACCTGAACAGACACAGGCTCTCCCACTCGGACGAGAAGCCATTTTCCTGCCCGATCTGCCAGCAGCGCTTCAAGCGGAAGGACCGCATGAGCCATCACGTCAGATCCCACCAGGGAGGCGTGGAGAAACCCTACGTGTGCCCGCACTGTGCTAAAGCTTTCTCGCGGTAGGACAGACCTCAGATCTCAATACACTGACATCGTCTACAATGTGTCTTAGTTTATACTTATGCACACTACTAAATCATTTGACAGTGAATGACATGTTTCTCACTCAATCTCACAGGCCTGATCATCTCAACAGTCATGTCCGACAGGTCCATTCTTCAGAACGACCCTTCAAATGTCCGGTATGGAAGTTTGTTTTGGGTTTTGTGCTGCAATTGTTTAATTTACACTGAAGGAAAAGTCTTTTCTTGATTTTAGTGCATTTTTAAGGTAAGAGGTTGCACAAAATTCAGATATATATCATTAGATGATCATACTCCTTATATTCGGTTCTATGAGTTAAATGTAAAATAGCTGTATATATCTTGTTTATGTATCTTTCTATTAATGTTGCAGTATACACACGATTTGTTGTATTGTTTTACTTAATCGTGTGAAGATTTTTTGAATGTAATGTATGACAGGTTAATGACCTTATATACCATGGTAAAGCAGTTGTTACATGTGAAGATGTATGTTGTTTGGTACAGACGTGTGAATCGAGCTTTGCCACGCGGGACAGACTGCGCGCTCACATGATCAGACACGAAGAGAAGGTTCCGTGTCACATCTGTGGCAAACTGCTGTCTGCAGCCTACATCACGGATCACATGAGGGTGCACAATCAATCACAGCATCACTCCTGCCATCTCTGCAACCGCAGTGAGTATCTGTCTATCTGTCTATCTATCTATCTATCTATCTATCTATGTATCTATCTATGTATCTATCTATCATCATCTGTTCGTACATTTGTTTATCTATATCTATCTATCATCTGTTGTTCGTACATTTGTTTATCTATCTATCATCATCTGTTGTTCGTACATTTGTTTATCTATCTATCTATCTATCTATCTATCATCTGTTGTTCGTACATTTGTTTATCTATCTATCTATATCTATCTATCTATCTATGTATCTATCATCATCTGTTGTTTGTACATTTGTTTATCTATCTATCTATCTATCTATCTATCTATCTATTTGTTTATCTATCGATCTATCGATCTATCTATCTATCTATCTATCTATCTATCTATCTATCTATCTATCTGTCTATCTGTCTATCCATCTGTCTATCTATGTCTTATCTATCCGTCTGTCTGTCTATCTATCTATCTATCTCTGTCTGTCTGTCTATCTATGTCTTCCTGTCTATCTATCTATCTATCTATCTATCTATCTATCTATCTGTCTCTGTCTGTCTGTCTGTATATCTATGTCTATCTTTCTATCTATCTATCTATCATCATCTGTTGTTCGTACATTTGTTTATCTATCTATCTGTCTGTCTGTGTCTGTGTCTATCTTTCTATATCTGTCTGTCTGTCTGTCTATCTATCTATCTATCATCATCTGTTGTTCGTACATTTGTCTATCTATCTATCTATCTATCTGTCTGTCTGTCTGTCTGTCTGTCTGTGTCTATCTTTCTATCTGTCTATCTATCTATCATCATCTGTTGTTCGTACATTTGTTTATCTATCTATCTATCTATCTATCTATCTATCTGTCTGTCTGTCTGTCTGTCTGTCTGTGTCTATCTTTCTATATCTGTATATCTGTCTCTCTATCTATCTGTCTAAGTCTTTCTATCTATTTATCTGTCGTTCTGTCTGTCTGTCTGTGTCTATCTTTCTATCTATCTATCTGTCTGTCTGTCTGTCTATCTATCTGTCTCTGTCTGTCTGACTGAATATTTATCTATCTGTCTGTCTGTTTATATCTACCTCTCTATGTAATCTGTCTATCTTTCTGTGTGACTATTTATCTATCTGTCTGTCTGTATATCTATCTCTCTATGTAATCTGTTTATCTGTCTGTCTTCCTGTCTGTTCATGATTGAGGTCTTTGTAATTTCATGTTCAGTCTGCTGTAACATAGTATTTCAACAATAGCCTCCTTAATTGCATAAACAAAAACTTTTGTAAATAATTACATAATCAGCTTGTCTGCTGTAATTATCATTAACGAGTTATTATGAGGTAATCACAATCATCAGCTAATGAAATACAGCAGCAGTGCTTCACCTCCAAATCTTGCCCCATCAGGTTTCACCACGCTGACGTACCTGCGGGTTCACGCTCAGAAGCACCACGGTCAGGAGTGGAAGGACAGCGGAGGAGGCTTCGGCACCACAGGCTCCGGGGGCGTCCTGGTCTGTCAGCTGTGCGGCGTGCACTGCAAGACCCCCACACAGCTGCAGGGCCACATGGGTACCCACAACCCCCCTGTGAGTGACCCCAACCCCACCACCACCACCACCAGTGAGGCGGTGCCGGGCAGCATGGTCACCCTCTGCAACATGGTGTCGGCACCCACGGTGTTCGTGAGCGGGAACACGGTGGTGGATCTGCTGGTGACCGACTGCTCCAGCATCATCCCGCAACCTCAAAGCTAGCAGAGCAGGCCTGTAGTGCACACACGCTAGTAACTATACTCACACATGCAACACACACATAGCTACTATACACATGTATGACTCAACTTATTACACTAAAGAACCACAAGAAGCCAAGGAGAAACTGTGAAAAAGGCATTCTGAGTGAAAGTTGCTCACGTTTTATGACATGCAATGACAACTACTGTAGCATGATACATTTTGAAAGAACACCTCTCGATTATGCACACATATTGAGACATATAGTCGCTTTACATTTATCCCTCTCAAAACCAGATCATTAATATGTACAATTTCTTGTCTTGCTGAGAAGGCAGAAGGACGGTTTGGTCTTCCTAAGCTATCTTGGCTCAACAAGAAGGATCAGGGCATAAAGGTGGCAAAAGAGACTTAGGGTGCAGTATTTTTTATTTTAAATGTGCGGTTCACCCAAACATTAATTATTCACTCCCCTTCATGAAGATTCCATGACTTTTTGTTACAAAATGGAGCTTTTTTTCCAATGGAGCTTGATTCATTTTCATCGCATTGAAGAGAGCAGCTCAGACATTCTGCTCAATTTCTTCTTTTGTGTCCTACAGAACAAATAAAGGCCTAAGGGTGAGTAAATGACGGGTGAACTATCGCTTTAACAATTTTAGGACGAAATGGCCACGTCGCACTGGCTTGATCCACTGTTTCTTTTTCACGGCCTTCTTTTCTCTCTTTGACCTTCTCTGCTTTCTTGGCTGCAGGACTCTTTGATGATACTGTGATTGTGTATTGCTACTGTATTTCTTCTGCCTGTAATATGATTTCCACTTTGTTTGCCAGACATCCACTGCCATAAACTGGCATCAAGATCCATTCAGAAGTCATAATAGCAGAAGAAAGATCCGAAAGGTGAAAACGAGAGGTTGCATTAGATGAAAGAGGAAAGTTTCAGAGTTTTCAGAGTTGAACGGATAGATGATTTATCTAGTAACGTTCTACTGCCAGCAAAAACAGATTTGCATATTCACACTAATACACAAACACTATGTGACAGATGTTGTGTGTACCTGACATGTCCAGGTCATATTTCACCCCAAAATCAAGAGGAAGAAAGAAGACATTTCCTGTTTTTAGGTCCATAAAGATTTATGTCATTGTGACATTGTTTTAATGAATTCCTCAGTTCTAATTACCATTGTTCAAAAAATAAATTTCTTAGTTCCAAAATCTGAAAAAAAAGTATATTATTAAAATTTTTATACACTACGGTTGAAAATTTGGGGTTGGTAAGATTTTTTCCCATGCTCATCAAGTCTGCATTTATTTGATAAAAAAAAAAAACAGTAACGTTTTATATAATGAAATATTATTACAATGTAAAACAACTTATCTATTTGAATATATTGTAAAATGTAATTGATTCCTGTGATTAAAGCTGAATTTTCAGCATCATTACTCCAGTCTTCAGTGTCACATGATCTTCAGAAATCATTCTAATATGCAGATTTGCTGCTCAAAAAACATTTCTGATTATTATCAAAGTTTTTGAACAGTTTTGAAAACAACTTTTTTTCAGGATTCTTTGATCAATAGAAAGCTCAAAAGAACAGCATTTATTTGAAATAGAAACCTTTTGTAACATTATAAATGTCTTTAATCTCACTTTTGATCAATTTAATGCATCCTTGCTTCATTTAATTTATATTCATTAAATAATACCTTACTGACCCTAAATTTGTGAACGGTGGTGTACGCCATGGTAGTTCTGCTGATTATTAATTCATTGTACTAAATGTGTATTTAAAAAGAAAAACATGTTTATTACTAATAACATAAAAATGTTCATGAAAATAATGTCAGAGTGCCAAAAATCTTAATAGTAGGGACGTGAACTGTCGATTCACACATGCAGTCGTGTCCGTACAGTACTGGCCAAATAATTAAACTCTGATTGAGTTTGAGGCTGTGAGATTGTCACCGATTCTTCATATATTACATTCAACAAGTGTACAAAACATCAAAACTGGCCTGATATTTTGGAAGGCAATGTCATAAATGACCTGCCTATGGAAATCCAAAGGAAAAATACCCAGATTTCACCTTAACTATTAGGTGCTTGCTTCTTTTACAGGACTGTCCTGAAGAGTTACATTTAGATTTACATTTTTATTTTTGATGTTATGTGAAATGTGATCAATCATGTAATACACCGTTATCAGTAACAGAAGATGAACGTCAAATTTATAGCAGTACTATAGGATGCTTGTTTGAGTCTGATCATTTGGCCGTGACTGTACTGTGAGGGTTTTAAAATGCACACAATTCTCTTCTGCTTCTAATCCACGTGTCCATTTAGAGGAAAACATGAAATATTGAAACTATGAATCCTCTGCCGGACTTTTTCTGAGTAACACAATGAGGTGCTGAACTAGGAAATTCAAAGACAGGGCTAATAGGATGTGTAAAGGCTTCGCTGCTTACTTCAGATATGTCCTCGTGTTATTTTTCCGAACAGCAGGCCGTCAAAAGGAAAGCAAGAGCTGTTGTTGTTACTGCTTCCTCGAAGACTTTTAGCAAAGGCTGTTTTGTAGAAGATTGCGTTTTCTTTTTTTCTGTTGTGAATGTGTGAACGGCGTGTTTAAAGAAGGGCTTAAAGATGTGTGCTTAAGTAAAACCCAGCGTCACGCGAGGAAATGAAACTCTTTACTAGCTCAAGGTTTATAAACGATGGAGAAAAAGACTCGTCTTGGTTCTTGGTTTTGTACTGGAGTGATTTGTTTGATCGGTTTAGTGTTGGTACTGTATATCTGGTTATTCATGAGCTTCATTTTAATATGAGATTTGTTCTTCCTGTGTAGAAATGTAGTTGTTGTTAAAAGCTTCAGATCATTTTTAGGTTCCTTATTTAAATTTAGCATTAAGCTGAAATAATACCTCTAATCTCTGTACAGCTCTGGCAATGCATCTCAATGCCTTATTGTATCTACCGCATTTAATTCGTCAAACACTACAACTATTTTAAAATGATAGTCGATGAACCAGTAAAAAAAGGAAATTAAAATAATAATGGGATGTATTTATATTTATATTTTTATATTTCTTAAAAGTATGCATGTCTATAAACAGAGCAAAACAAATTGTTGATGCTTACCATGATCATGGATATTATGTTATTATTTTGTAGATGATGTAGATCATGTTATCATTTTGTAATTTGGACTATTAAAAGGAAATGGAGTAATCATATCTTGGGTCACGTGGCTTGTGTGTTTGTACAGTTCCGTGAACAGATCTGACCTTGACCTCCAGTTCCACCCAATCATATTTGTCCGTCTAAAATAATAATCCATATGGGTCTAAACGGGGTCAGAGAGAAAGCAGGAAAACAAGACCAAACCTGCCAAAGTGAATGAAAACGGCGCTGTTTTCTCAACAGTACGTTGCGTTCCGATCTTCCTGAAGATGAATCTCTGTCTCTCTCTGTGTTGTCATTTATCCTGAGCGCATCAATAATTCATGCGGCTTTGATGTGATCAAACGTGGAAGCTGGAATGTTGCCAGTTCGGATCTCAGGACTGCAGGAGTCAATATTTGTGCCCTATCACTTGTTTCTCATTATACGTGTAAATTCAGAGGCATTACAATACATCCTTGCAGCGTTTCAACACATGTTCAACCAAGTGATACATATTACAGTGATCGTTACAAGGCAGCACTGATATCCTTCACATTATGATATTAATTTAGCCCGGACTACTTGCTGTATTCTGCGTTCAAATCTTATATTATATATATTAAGCTTTGAAAATTATGATTTATTTTATGTAAGCATACTGAATTGCAGTTGGTCGTCTTGGTTACATGTATTTGCATACTAAACTGTGACTGGTCTTGTTTTGCTTGCATACATGTAAACATCTATAGCCATTTTTTTCCAGTTGCTTTTTTTAGGTGTTAAAATTTTACATTTGCTGTAATTTCTGTTTTGTTATTCGTAGGAAAAAGTATTTATATTCATATGGTATTTTGGTGTAGAATTGCATTTTCTTTTTCTTTTTAAAGACAAAGGCTGTTCATAGTCTTGTCATCACATTAAACACTTTATAGTGTTATTTTTTTCCATTAAAGTTTGTGTTTGGACAGTATAATTTATTATTATATGCATTCGGATTTAGCAGCCTTTTTCAATTACTTCACGACTGTTGAAATGTTAAATTTGCCATACTTTCTCTATTTTAGACTTTTTCACAAGAACGTCAAAATAAACTCATTTGGCATTTAATTTAAAATTGACTTTTTATTTATTTATTTTTTATTTTTTTGCTGTCTCCACTACTGATACCATTAACATGACATCCAGCTTATTAAAGAAAAATAGAGTTTTCCATAAAGGTTTGTATTTGAACAATCCGAATCAGTATTTGAAAAGTTTAATTTAGAAACAATAATTTCATACCTTTTCCCAATTGTTTAAAAAATGAAGAGTATTGAAATGTGACATTTGCCATAATTGCTTTTAAAGGTGACATATCATGAAAATCTGACTTTTCCAGGTTTTAAGTGCTATAATCAGGTCCCCGGTGCATCTACCAACCAAGGAAACGTGAAAAAGATGAACCCAGTAACTTTGTTTTGGGAAGCTTTTTTCTGCAAGCTTCTGAAAAAAACGAGCGGGTCTGATTTCGCTCCCTTGATGACGTGGCAAAGGGATCTCATTCTAATATATTATAATACATTATAATATTACCACCCCTTAATCTGTAAGTTTCCAGTTCCACCCATGGCGCCATTATTGTGTTTTCGCAAGCGACAGCGGTGTACTAGTTCTAATGCCATGGCGAAAGTTTGAGCAAAACATGCTAACTGTTCTGTCTTTGTCTGCACAGACGAGCACAGAACACTATTTACAGTCCCAACCTCAGAGCAGACAAGAGAGCAGTGGATTTATTGTTTAATTTAATGTATATTGCTGCTGCCACACAGA